ACTGTATTAAATATGTAAGGTCTTAAAAAAAAAAAGGGATTTTGAGAGCCCATCCCTTGTGAAGGGATGCTCCCCTGACCTGGACACATGGGGTAGGGCCTAGGCCTGGCCCAGGATGATGTGGTAGACTTTGGGGAGCCCCTTTTGAGGGCTTTACTCTGCCTGGGGAGTGGAGGGGGGATGGCTAGGGGCAGGTGGGATGTTGGGGGGTGGGGAGGGAGAGGGAGAAGGGATTGACATCTGAAGCAAGCTTGTTCCTAATTACTAATAAAATATAATTAAAAAAGTAATACAGAGAAACCCAGGATACTGGCAAAACAAGTAATCCAATTACTTTATAATCTCCCATAACTCCCAACGCTGAATGCAGAGCTGTCCCTGGATAAGTAGTCATATATTACATCTACTAAGAGATAGATTACTATTTCTAAAGTTAGTCCCCACAGTCCCAATAACAAAACAGAGAAAACCAAAGCCTTGAGGATTCAAGTCTGACCAAGCTCATACATTTGGTACCCAAGACTGCCTGCCTGCTTCCAAAAATCTACACTTTAATGTTATGGTGTCCTGGAAACTATGAAGTTTCCTTCTAATAGAAAGCACTTACCTTAACATCCATATAATGGAGAGCCATTAAATAGATGAATATCAATCTCCCATATTTCACTAAAATATTAATAATTTGAGGCCATAGCAAAGAACATACTTACGCATTCCTGAGCATTCTCTATCACCATCCCATACATTAGAAACTGCATGTCCCGTCAGTAGGAGGTTAATTAAGCTTTGGCTATCAATAAAAATTAAATATCAGTTAAAACAAGCGTAAAACTTGTTCTTCAAATTAAGTAATTCCTACAATAAAGATTTTAATGACTTCTTATATTTGTTATGTTAAAACACGAAATGAGAGGAAACCTTACTTCATTTTTCTATGGCTGGCTATGGTGAAGGTCTTAGTGTTGCCCTACAATGGCATCTGTTACCATAATCATAGAAGCCACAAAACTTTAAGGGCATATTTAAAGGGATAAGTATTTGTCTGTTTACTTAGTATTTACACTTATTTTTATACATAATAATTTTTGGAATTATATCATTTCCCCCATTCCTTTCTTCAATCTCTCCCATGTACCTCTTTGCTCTCAAATTAATTGCCTCTTTTCTCTTGTTGTTACATATATTTACACACATACATACACAATCTCCTAAATAAATACAAACTACTTGGTCTATATAGTGTTCCTTGCATGTGCATGGAACTGGCTGACTACTTGGTACTGGAGAACCAACTGGAACTGGAAACATTACTACCTGGCAATGAAGTCATGTGTCTTGGAGAAGAACCTGCAAAAGCTCACTTTACTAAATCAGCATAATTCTTAACAACATTTAAAATATTTATCCTTATACATACATTCTTGCCCCCGCAACCAATAACCTTGGCTTTGTAATAGATGGAGAACATTATAATTATATTTAATATGCAGTCTTTGATAGAAGATAGGTTAATGTTAACAACTAAAGCAGACATATCTAAAAAGAAGGATGTGTGTGAGAATAGATTAATTTTCACTATTCCATTGATTTTTGGTAAAATAAAGTAAAAAAACTAGAAAAGAGTTGTTTTATCTCCAAAAGAAACTAGCACAGATAGGTAAGAAAATACTTATTTCTAGGTTAATGTGAGTAAATTTAGCTTTTTAAAAAAAATACATAAATGGATATAATAAAGGAGGCTTTGTTAAAAATATCTTGACAAGATACCTGTCATAATAAGTCATGTGTAAACAACTCGAAACTGGATGTTAACACTGGCTAAAGCAATGCAATGCACGCAGCCCAGGGCTACCAAGCCCGACTTGTTGCCAACACACTCATCAGAAACTCTCCTGCTCCTAAGTTCAGTAAGAGACAGCAGACTGCAGCCTTTACCTGCCATGCCCGTACACGGGGTCTATCAAAGGCTCATTTGCATCTTCAATTGAATTCTTTATGTTTTCAATGCCCTAAAGAAACCAAGATTTCATTAACTTCATTTTAAAATAAAGTACAAAGTATGATCAGTTTGGACTATATGTTTATAAAGTACTATTCGAATTACCCAGACTTGAAGTGGGGTTGCGTTTGATATGGTAAGAAGGGAACAACTAGTGTAATGGCTAAAACAGGCAAGGATACCGAAAGTATCAGAATTTGAGGCAGAACCACTGTTGAGAGTGAATAGTGAAAAAAAGTTCATGAGGGTGCAACACCTTAGCCCCTAGCTACCCAATCACCTGACCTCCAAGCACTTTTGGTACCTTACATTACTTAATGTAGTAACTTGTTTAATATTTGGTCAACTTCTGTTATTATTAATTCTTTATTCTATTTGTTCCCTTTCTCTTCCATTCTATTGTCACCATCCTGCTTTAGGTTTCCACTACAATACTATTTTCCTAGTTTCCTTGACTCTAGTGTTCTATATACCAAATGTCTTCATCACAAATTCTCATTCCAATTTCAGAATCTTACACACACACACACACACACACCACACACACACAGTCATTTCCATATTAAAAAATTGTATTACCTTTCACAGTTGTCCCTAGTTATTTGACACTGCAGTAGAACTGAAGTATTTATGATCTCCTAAGCTGTGTTATACCCCAATATCCCTTTCCTCTTTATACTTGCTGCTCCTACTGTTTGGTAAATTTTATTACAACTTTTCCATATGTATAACTTCTCTCATCCACACATCCACCAAATGGTCCTTACTTCAGAGTCGGTCCACGAGTCCCTTTAATAAACTTAAGTCATATCTTCTATTTTCCCAAAATATTTTCTGCATGTAATAAATAAAATATAGAAACTATCACCCCAAAACATGACCATAATGTAATTATTAGTATGTCATTTTATAATAAAAAATAGAAAACCTTAAAAACGATGTCATATACCCATCTTAGAGTTATGATAAAAAAAATTAGTAAAGGAAAACAAATAACCCTGATTTCAGATAAGGTATAATCAGGAGACATTCCAAATGAGACTGAAAGGCTATGAGCAATTTGATATTGGTATTTGCAAAATGAAGACAGGAACAGAAGAGTGCATGCTTGAGTTAGTTGCAGAGAGGTAAGCTAACAGAAATAACTACCCATAAAAGAAAAATAAGAAAAGAATTACACAGGACCCAGGAAATGACTCTTCTAGAATTCTAAAATCTGGAATTCTAAAATTCAGAAGAGGAGAAAAGAGTTAGAAAACACATTAAGAAGGAACTAAAGCTATTACAGAATTTTTTAAAACAATATGAGAAATTATATGAAAAACAAAAACAAAAACCTAGCACAAGGATTATCAACTAAATCCAGACAAGAGGGGTCAGAAAGGGTTTCTACAGGGGCTAAAAGTCAAGTGCTAGATATTGCTAAGATCAAAGAAAACCAAACTAAGTGACAGCATGTCATGATTAGAACAGTATCAATCACCTCCGAGGTCCATAGGGCAGAGGGGAGCAAGGTGTGAACATGGTTAAAGACTGAATGGAGGCAGGAGCAAACTCCTTATCAGCAGCAAGACTCTTCACCATGGATGTACAAACAGAGGCCACACAGCATTTAACAGCAGGAAAAGCAGCGCTAAGCTAAGACAGTAAATCATCTTAAACAAACCTTTGTCAGTAATACAGAATAGAGAAAAAGCAAGACTCCAAATTTGTTTCCCCACATTGAATACTGGTCCAAGACAGCATCTTTTAATTCTGATACAGTTCTGAATGATCTTTTTCTGGGGGGAAGAAGAATCAAGTATTAGTATCCTGATTACTCCATTAATAAGAGGAAAAAATTTTAAACTCTTATTCATCACAACATACACACAGGAGATATTTATGAAGTATCTTCAAGTTCTAAAAACAAATTTAGCTAAGGAAAGGAAAAACTATTGCTGACAACTCCCTGCAATCCAGTCCACTAAGATTGAGTCCTGGCAGGGAGCCTCTGCCTCTCTTAGATGCAGTACCTAGCACCAGTTCCTCAGTCCATGCAATTGTTTAGACAACAGACTGGCCCTTTTCAAAGAGGTGTTCAATAACAAGACAACTAGTAAAGGATGAAAGCTCTTCAATGAACATCTGAGGGCTAAAACTACAGTATACATTTGTGGCTTCTTTGAAAAGAAATTAATGTTAAATTTCAAAATGCCACCTATAATTCTGTCACATAGAAGCCTTCCTTTGATTTTATGATGGAATCTTTAAATGTCCTGATGAAATATGGGCATTTTTAATGAAAATTACAGGAAGCATATTTTGGCAGATAAATAACCCTAGTATTTGTCTCACTACAAATGGCTTTACATTCATTCAGAAGAGAAAAACATGATCAAATGATTTTTTTCACTGATAATGATGAAGAGGTATTTAACTTAGTGTTTTTAAAAGTATACTTGGATAGTTAGTTACTTTAGGACTTAGAATCACATGCATATATAAATTAGTTTTAAAGTTGAAAGCAAATTAATGCTCAAACAAGGTATTTTAAGCTCGTGTTTAAGTAGAGTACTATGTAAGGCTAAGGATGTTTCCACAGTATGAACAGACTTAAAATGGCAATGTGTCCACAAGGTAAGTATTTTAAATGTTTCAATGTTACTTACTGAATTAATGCATGAAATCGCTCAAAGCCAAGCTCTTCGACAGCCAAGGCAGCTATACATAAAAGACACTTTTCAGCACTACACATGGCAAATAAATGACACAAGATATACACAGCAGGCTGTAAATACTTCAAGCAATCAAAACATTCCCTATTTCTTATTCCCTTACAAGTCTCAGTTCACTCTGAGTAAGGTGAATTTATAGTTTATAATCTTAGTTACTAGTTATAACTAAACTAGATACAGAACTGAGAATGTAGAAGGGTTACTAAGTAACAACATCTCTGTACAATTCAGTTACAGCTGGGAGAATATGCAAAACAGGAACTACTGACTATTTGTCACACATTGTCATGTGTCCTGAACTATAAAATAATCTCCCAGTTTACAATAGAAGTAACTATCAGCGCTGACCTTTTCCACTATAAAATTCTTAGGCTTATTGCTCACTTATTAAACAAAGGTGTATAAAAGGCATAGCATTGAAACACAGGTTCAAGGGCAGATTTAAGTTTGTTTCCTCATTCATTCATGAAACCATTTACAAATTTTCAATAACTGTTAAGATTGTATTAATAAAGTACAAGTTTTAAAATTTTTAAAGAAAACCAAAAACTTTAAAGCAAAGATGACATTTACTAAGGTTTAACTAGGTGCTGGACACTCTTGTGAGCACAAGCCTGAACTCACTTAGTGGCCATGGCCCCTTCATCCCTGGTTGTAGAAGAGGGAACTGAGGTCCACACAGGACCTAAGAGCACCAAGTTCTAGCCAGCACTGGAAGGTAGACTCAGTCTTGACTTCCAGACTTTAAAGTCTTCAAAAGCCAATAGAAACACCTACTTTCTTGCAATGAGCAATTTCATGAAATAAATAGTAGTATGTCTCACACATAAATTTTTACTACTGTTTAAGAGAACTGATTATGAAATCAGAATTAAAATTTTATCTACAACTTAAAATTTCAAATTATACTAGCTTTATATAGCCTAGTTTTAACTTTTCAGTGTTTCACATGAGTTTCTAAAATCTTTAGAAATCCAAACAGATTAATTTATCTTTTGGTTTATGTGAGAAACAAACTGAAATTGAACCCAAGAAAATACTACTATAAACAAGTATGCATTACCAAAAAGCAAAAAATATACACACCACAAAAGCCAATGGAATTAATGCTGTACACAATGTAAAATCAATGAGAGGGAAAAATACTTCACTTTTCAATGAAAATAAAATAATCCTATTTAATCTCTTCCAAATTATACTGTTTTATAATGCCTGCTTACGCTGCACTGGAAAGTTGACATAAAGAGAGTACTTTAAAGAGGTAAGAAAAAAAACAAAACACAACAAAACAAAAAAAAAAAAACTTAAAGCTTAGCAGGCAGAAATAATGGTAAATAAGACATAGGAGGAGAAACAGCTGGGAATAAAGAAAGACAGGTAAAACAGATTGTTATATGGAATAAATAATTCAATGTAAGTTCAGTTTAACTGTTAGTATCTAATATACATTCTCAAATTTTCAGCTATTAAAATGTTTTAAATCTATATGAAATTAAAGATATTTCAAATATGGTTTTATGTCATGTTTATTTAAAATTAGCATTAAGTAAACTAGAAAATTCTACAGCATGTCTTTTTTTGGGAGGGGTATTCAATATAACACACCCATCTAAATTATTTACTTAGGGAACTGTGCAATGAGGCCCTTCCTCTACAGCAAGTGCATGGTATGCATTAAAAGCCAAAGGAAAATGCTATAAATGAGCTTAAACTCTTCAAATAGATTAAATCTCTCTCTCTCAAAATTTAGTGTCCCAAATGCAATTAACATGCTTACATGCCACATAGTAAAATTTACAAAACATTTTAAAAGTATTCTTAAATGAAGTTTTATTGTCATCCTTTTGGGTAGTTTTCTTTCTCTTTAAATGTCATAATGAACTCCAAAATAAATTTTTTGAAAGGCAATGTTTTAAAGGCTTGAAAAGAAACATTACATAACTTTAATTTTTTAAAATTGTTCCTTGCAAATGTTAAAATTAAAATTTGGCAGCCACAAGCCATTCTAATTGCAGAGGTAGGGGGAAAATGATACTGGGATGTTTCAGCTCAAGGAAGGCAATACTGCCTCACAGACAATTTTATATGGGTAGTAGTACACATTGCACATAATCAAGTATTTAACTTCCTAACATCAGGTATCTATTTTTTTTTTCAAAACCATCCTATACAGAAGGTAGTAAGTACACTGTGGTATAGATAGAATAAATCACTTATTCAGTCTACGTAGTTGGGGCTACCAATTATCAAAAATTACCTACTAGCAAGATTATTCCTCCAAAGCAAATCAGAAAAACAACTCGTATCTATTTTCCCTACCACCAGAAGTCTCAAATTTACTAGCGCATTTTGGCAATATTTAGGACACTTTAAGAATATTGAAATATGTAATTTTCTTTTCTTTGTTTTTCTTCTTTTTTATTTTTTTCTGAGACAGGGTTTCTTGGTGTAGCCCTGGCTGTCTTGGAACTAGCTCTATAGACCAGGCTGGCCTTGAGCTCACAGAGATCCATCTGCCCCTCCCTCCCAAGTGCTGGGACTAAACCATAATTTTATGAACGAGAATAGACATTATTTAGATTATGTTAAAGAAAGAAACTACAGTCAGGAAAACTTAAGACATAAATAAAACAAAACTAAAATTACCTTGGCCAAGATATATAACAATGTCCAAAATTATCAGGAGCAAAATAAGAGCATATAATAAAGAAAATGTCTCCACCTTTGTTCTAGAAAGCAACTAAGGATATCCAAGCATTTAATGGCGTTAAAACCCCCTTTTAATCTAAAGAAGAATAATGCACATGTATATTCTTTAGATTTTTAAAATCCAAAGATTTAATGCTCAAAGGAGATTTCATCAAGTAGAAGCTAACTAGAATTCTTTTAAATTGCTTAAAAGGTAAATGTAACTCCTTTTGCAAAAATGAATTGTCTTATACTAATTAAAATATTGGAAAAGGAAGCAAAATATTAAAGATTACTAATTAATCTTAGGACAGAAAAAGAGGTATAAAAACAAAATATTTTTTCTTCAAAATTTTCAAGTTTTACTAAAGCAAAAGGACAAGAAAGTACTTCATGAAATAAAAATGTATCTTACAAGAATGTTCCTCTTGGCAACTAGACTGTGCAGGACTCCCAGCAATACTAGCCGCTTCCTCAGTTGTCCTTCCTCTCAACCATGAAACCAAGCAGTATGATCCAGAGCTGTCACAAGCACTTTCTAAAATATCACATAAGGTATGACAAAGGAGTTCCTTCTGCTCTTCCTCTAAAAATAACCAAAGTATAAGTTATAATGGTTTGTCTGAAAAAGAAAATCGTCATGACAAATAGCACAAATGCCTTGGCTTAATAATAAAAAAACAAGTGTTTTGTAAGAATAAGGAAAGTCTGTATATAACTGGGAGACTGTAAATTACTCTTTAGTAAAACAATGTGGGTAAGGATTAAGATATTATCACTTTAAATACTGGTGTCAGTCAGAAGCAGCAGCCTGGAAAACGCAGAATTTAACATTATGAGAAACAGTGTGCTAGGCATCTGTCTCGAGCATCTGAACACTCAGGTTCCTTTACTGCAGAATCAAGCATAACAAATAACAGGGCCCCTAGAGACCTCTGCTCTCATCTTCGGAACTCTAATGTCTGACCAATTTACAGGAATAAGCGCAAGGTGATACGACACCATCAGCACACAAAAACCACAATCCATTACGATAGCAACCACTGTTATGCTGAATAAACCAGAAGCTACTATACCATTCCACAGTAAGCTGAACACTGGTGTTTTGTGGATGGCACAAGCAAGGCCATTTCCTCTAGAACATGAGCAGTTCCTCCCTCTCTCTAGTGGTGCCCCTCTCCAGATGCACTATCACAGTCAAACTTCCAAGTAAAGGCTCTACTAACAAAATCCTATATCACATGTTATGATAAAAGAGGATTCTGTCTTTCCTAATGGAAAGTTCTTCATAGTCAGTAACAGTTCCATGCATTTTGCATCACAGCAATGCTTTCCAAATTTGTCAAAGTGACTGTACTTTTGGGGAAGAAATGTTTTCTGCAATTAAAAGTCACGTTAATAAATGACTCCGAAAATATCTTTATTGAACTTGTGCATTTCCATTTCATATCAACACTTAATATGTATGACCAGGACACCTTTAACTCTTCAGTTCAAAATCATGAGATTATCTGGTCATGGGTTAGGATGGAAGCTATCATGTTCTTATAGGCAATATTGGCACTGCAATATCCTGCTTTCTTCTAGAAGTGACTATGAGGCTCACATGAAATTCTGTAACTGAGGAAAGATCTTTGTAAATTGCCAAGTGGAATGAAAATGTTTGTTATCAGGCAACATCCTGAATTGCTTTCAGTGTTTCCATTATAATGGAAGATAAAGGAATAAAAAGAGAACACCGAGTTCCTGATCAGAGCTCAATAAGCCAAAAAAAAAAAAAAAAAAAAAAAAAAAAAAAAAAAAAAAAAAATAAAGGGAGACCTGGAGGGAGGAGGAAGATCAATAACAACAAACTTACATGGTAGAGCAAGAGTAATCCTAGCAATAAGATAGCCTGGCCTAAACAGCAAGTTCCAGGCTAGACTTATTATGTAGCAAGATCCCATCACACAAACAAACACCAGAGTAAATTTTCATCTAAAAGTTAAGAGAAACAGCCATTTTAGCAAGAAGCCAAGTGTTTTCCCTTACTTACAATACCCTGTCTTCCTTCTCCTATCATAAATTTAAAACAAAGTCATTGTTTATGAAACTTCCTGAAACATTCAAGAAATACTATCCCACCAATTGTTTCCTATTGAACAGACTTTCTTTTTAAAATTGAATTACTAACAATAAATGCTGTGTAGACCAGGTTTAAAAGAGAAGATAAGTAAGAACTTGAAAGCCAGCTATCATACCTGAGCAATCCCGCCAGGACGACTTCTCAGAGGAAAACAGAAGCTTCTTCAAAAGAAATGCCTTTACACAATTAAAGCAATGGTTAGAATGCATTATAGACACATCTCATGCAACTCGTTTACTTTTAAAAATAAAAACATTAATACTACCTTTCTGTTCTTTTGAGCAGTTTTATTAAAACCTCAAATAGTCCCCCCCATTCAACAGTCAATGTATATGGTTATTTACTTAGATTATAGTAATATAAATTTTATCCCAGAGTCACAAATTACCCACCTCAGATACATACTCTTTAATAAGTAGAGAATCCACATTATAAAGAGGTTATTAGAAATTACAGCAAGTTAGTGTTCTGTTCACATAGTGAATGTATAGGAACATGTCTACATTTCTCTTGGATTTCTGGGGTAGAGACATTTAAATACAACAATGATTCTTCCTTGTTAGCCCTGATCTGTTATACAAAGAATACTGGCCATCCTGGGAAATTAGCAAGACCCTGTCTCAAGCTAAAATACAAAAAAAACACTGTAGATGAGGCTCAGTAGTAGAACCCTTGCATATCATGGTGAGATTATGGATTAGATGCCCAGGACTATGGAAAGAAAAGAGTATGGGAGAAAAAAAAAGATAATCCAACTATTAGAGCAATCACTTCTCACAAGAACTCACAGCTTCATGATTTGAGTCATCAAGTTATATGATTCAAAAGAAAAACAAACTGATCCCTAATTTTTTATTGCCTATGTCATAGAAAGCAGTGGGATATAGGGCAGTGCCTCATTGAGGTACAGTGCGGTTGACTTGTTTAAATGCATGTTCTTGGGTTCCACTTGTTGAATATGAATCTGTTCAGGGTAAGTCTAAGAAACAGGGGTAATATAGGACTCTTCACATGCTACAAGAAAGCAGAATGGAGACTGCTTTTAGTCAGAAGGACCTAAACTTGAGTCTTGATTAACTACCCTATTAATCAAAAATGCTAGGACAAACTTTGAAAAATTTCAGTAAGGGTTATAGAAGAAAATGCATGCAACGCACTCAGCATACTACCTGGCACCTAGCAAGCCATCAATTCAAAGAATTTTACCACCTCCAACAGTAAGGTTCAATGGTACTTACACAGAATAAAGCAAACACTACCATCAAGTATATACTATCATCCAAAATCAACATAAATTAACCACCTTGTATAATTATCTGCAGTACAAACTTTGGAGGTATATTACTGCTGTTGGCATATAATATTTCCTTCATTTGTTCCTCATGACTGGTTTTATAAGAAGAAATTACAATGATTATATTGAGATGTGCACTTTCTGGTTTTCACAGGAATTAATAGCCATAATCACTACTTCTATAAAATTCCCAAGATTTAGCTGTTATTTCCTCATTTAAATTTTATTACAATACATTAGGTTGGTTGCAACTTTTGCTACTATAAATCAGTTTCTTCATGAGGAATTTTTTTTCATAAGGGTTATTTTTAAAGAGAGACTCACAGAAATACATTATTGCCTCAAGACTCTATATTATCATGCCTCTAGCCATAGTCTGAACACCTTCACAGAATCTTAGTTAAATCTGTACTAGACAACAATATTCAAGAGTGCCAGTACATCTCACCCACATATGGCTTGACAATTATATATCTAGAGAGTTTTTAAAAAAGAAAAAGAAATAGAATCAAGCTCTAGTTTGATTTTTACTAGCCCAAGCTAAGCAAGTCTATATCCTTTTATTGTTTAGTATCATTCTACCTGTTAACAACTACTCCGTGATGCCCATCATACCACTGGGGAAACAGTGTTTTTCTTACCGAATTTGTACTAATTCCCCATGTAAGACAGACAGCATTCTTGATAATAATGTTTACTGAAACTATTTTTTTCCTGAGCTTAAAGTAATCCCTTTTCTTAGAGCATTAGTACATTAATATTTGGGTTTCTTATGGTTCAAGATAAGGACCATATATATTTAGTTGTGGTTGGTATACAGCCATTAGTCTCCCAAATTGCCATATTGATGATATTTATGAAACTTCATTTTATTTCACCACTTATGACAGTTCCTTTATCACAGTAAGTGATAAAGTCTTGGTAAACTCTATTTAATAAGTGAATTATCTTTTAATGCTATTCCTATGTACATTTTCTAGAAGCATCATGTTCTAAATTTAATAGTTTAAAAAGGTTAATGTTAATATTTTGACTTACTCGGTTCTCTCATTACTCAACAATTTAATTTTGATGTTTAAGCCAAAGCACTAATATAAATAAAATAATTGCATTGATTGAAAATATTGGTATGTTTCTCAAATTAAACCTATGATTCAAAGGTCTGTAACAAGGTGGCCAGGATTTTACTGTTAAAGTTATCCCTTGTTTATTATTTATATACACTGAATTTTAAATGCCTGTAGTCTATCTTCTGTTCACACATATTCACATACCTTCAATATTATAGTACTATTACTGAAACAGTCTCTAAATAGATTTCCAAATCTAACACACATGAAGAGCATAGGATCTTCACATTCAGACAAGAATCCTACTTCTACCTGAAATTTGCCCCAGCCACTTAGGAAAATAGATATAATAATTGCTTGTAGTATATTATATAAATAGTATATGTAATCACACAGAATAGATAAATGTACTATGGTTATTGTTGTACTTAATTTTCCACTCTATATACTTAACAATTCTGAAACAAGATTCAGACACTCAAATTTCTCTGAATAATTTTACCAGTATGAAAAAAAAAAGCTTTATTCTTTGAAGAAATAAAAACAAGTTGGTCTATAAAGATGTATGTTGGAATAACTCAGAGGAGACTGCTTTTCACTTTTTAAATATTTTTAGCTTTATTTTATGTATATGAATGTTTTGCCTGCATTTTTGTATGTGTACCATGTGTGTGCCTGGGTCCTCAGCAAGAGCAACCAGTGTTCTAGAGCTCTTGAACCATCTCTTCATTCCTGAGATGGTTTTTTCTTTTAGAAAAACACTTTTTGTACCGAGTGATGTTATCATATGGAGGATAAAGTTGGAGACAAATGTATTATGTAGCCAAGAGTTTAGAAATGTCTCCTTCCTGTCCAGTTGGCAATTTGCATCATTTCTTATTCAATAAACATTTTAAGGTATGAATAGCAATATAAGCAAACAGCTCTGAGGTTACAATGATAGTCATACATATAACAGTAAACCAGAGCTGTTGATCCCAGCAATTTAACAGTTTACAGCACTAGTTGGTTCTGAAATTCAAAAACATTAAAATTTATTATTACAAAATGGGTCTCCATCTGTAATTCCTAGTCTTCTGAAAAATCAAGATATACCTCTTACTTTTTCTTGAAAACAGTCAAAATGCTACTGTTGTAAAGACTCACTCATGCTCTGAATCCATTTTTATTTTGGATAGTTACAACTTCATGTGTAAAAGCTGTTAGAGAGTCACATCTGGTTGTTCTGCAGAGTAGTACAGACATCAGAAAACAAATGCAAGTGCTAAACTTTTGAACATGTCCCTCATCTAAGGAGTTGGTAAAGTAGTCTATGTTACCTGAACAGGTGCAATAACAGCACAGGGGCCACCTTCAAACTGTTCTAATGCAGATCCCTCTGATTCACTAAACACAAACCCTAAAAATGAAAGCAAGTAGCAAGGATTAAAAATAATTCCAGTAGCACCTATAAAAGAATTGTTCGTGTACTTTGCTTTGCGATCATGTTTTACAACAGTAAAATATCTACAGTTATCAGAGAGAACAACTCTTCTTTTAGGAGACCAAGAGGATTCTTTGGAAAATGTTATGCAACTATTACCTCTCCTCCAAAATATTTATAAAGTCCTCCCTAAGACACCCCCTCTCCCTCTCCCTCTCCCTCTCCCTCTCCCTCTCTCTCTCTCTCTCTCTCTCTCTCTCTCTTGCTCGCGCTCTC